TGACGTGAACACACCCGCATTTGATATTATTCATATCGTACATCAAGCCCATATAAATACGAAACAGACCCTGTTTCTATGTCGCCCCACATCCCATAGCATTTTCATGCGATATAGATTTTATGAAGCACCACAAGCCTTAAAAAGACGCAAAATGTTCGCAGGTGTACATGGGGGATCGTATAGAATGGAAGGCTATATGGCAAGGTTTTGTAGCTCCAATGCTGTGGTATCGATTGTGATATCATGGCCATGCACCAGTGACTCATGATCTAGACGTGACTTTACACTGCTTGGAAATTCACTTAACAAGCATGTCTGCCAAATGATATCTTTTTGGCTTGACTCAACAGAAAAAAACATTCGCGATATGTATGCTACAAGTAATGTAGTTGTGGTCACGCACCTATCCAGTCCCTGACAGAAATACTGTAGAGACGGAGCATGTATGCAAAAAAAGAAAGGCCTATGTTCCATGTGAACCAGAGCTCCACAGGGGCCGCTGGCTGTGAGGTGAGGTGGCTAATGACTGACTTGGTACCGGTCTCCTAACTCCAAATTTGCGAGAAAGAATGTTTTGCAGACGGCATCAACTTGCATGCTAACCGGCACACGCCATGAGAATCCGTCTTTTCTTGATTTCCCTTTCTTCACTGTTTGCCGTGAATAACCTGGTAAGATCCATTAAAGTATGGATACTATTCACATCTATTCGACCTTGACGGCGAGTTTACTGTGGGGTTAAGTTACCACCTTATATTCTCCGGAACTCTAATACCATATCTAGTTGCAAGCCTCCTTCTACGCGGCCCATTGTCGCTGACGGCAGAATATGCTTGATTTTGAAATTCCAATGTGGCAATGTGCCAATGAATCAATGAATGCGTAAGTCAGGGGGACTACAGTACCAAAAGAGGGTCCTCCTCCTCGTTTCTGCCGGGGGTCAGATGAGCCGAACTGGGATCCCAGCGCCAGAGTCTGTGTGGTCTCAGAGTCCCCTTTGCGTCATTGAAGGCTCCTGCGCCGATCCGAGGCCAACTGCTCCGGTCAGAGGGCCCCATGCGTCAGGGAGAGGATCGATGTATGTTTTATCCCGAGATCGGCAAGGGCTTCTGCCCTGTGTCGGCAGAACGGCTGCTGGTAGGTACCCCGGGCTGAGACAGGAAGGGTCTTCAGCCGTTGACTGGGAAGGGTAATTCCCCCTGTGTTTTACCTACGGGGCCCCCTGTCCTGGAAAGTTAAGGTTCTCCTCAGTGTCAGTCAACAAAGCCTGCCAGTCTACGCGCCCGTCGGCATGACTGGATAATAAAAAGCGACGAAAATTGGGCCCTCGAAATAAAGTGGCCTTAACCCGGTGATTCGTTTCCTTTTGGGGGGAGGGGGTGGTAGAGAACTTTGGTCACCGGGGTTGTCATCAAGCTCTGTGCCACTTCCTCCTCCCTTACCAGGACCCTGGCTGCGTCCCTGATGCGTATGGAGGGATAGAATGAGTTTGCCATATAAATACCTACAGAATGAGTCAGGTCTAGCTGAACATCAGATACCTGAATCAAAAGGAAGGGAAACGGAGGTCATACTCCCCCCTCACCAGCCTGCAGGTTTCGTTTGTCAGGCATCAGTACGTTGTATTATTGACCGTTAGAGACACCTATTATGACAGGGTGACGGCATCTGCCCGCGACCCTTTTTCGAATCATGTCGTCAAGCCTGGCAATCTGCCAAGTGTTTCTTCGCCGCTGCCGTAATTGGTACGAGTAATTGTGATGTCAGGTAAATGATGGAACGTTGCCTAAATACGTTGTTGAATGGGCCAAAGATAATTTTTCTGGCACTCTGGAGGTGAAGGGAAGGCACGGAAGCTTTAGCCCGCAGCCGACCGGCGAGTTGTGAGGCTATATGAATGCAGTGAACGCCTAGGTTGGTGTGGAGCCAAGAACGTCGCCAATATGCGCCTCGAGGAGCTTGACAGCATTCGTCGGGCTTGTGGCCCCCTTGCACAATGATCATTCCATCTGCCAATGCTTTGGCCACCCAAATCATCGCTTTAGCTCCAGGCCCGCTTCCTCAAAGCACCGATTGGGAGACACCCGATTGTGCGCATTTTATGTGCACTGAATAGAATGAAGCTATTCACTCTTCTCCTAAGGAGACTCAAATCACCGTAATTATCGAGCATGTGTATCGTTCGGCATACGGCCGCGTCTTGGTCTGCTGCGTCCGACTAACCACCATGGTGTCCAACACTCAGTTACATGAGGTCTAACCGCAGACGTTTAGGTTTAAGGTAAGTTTCGATCATCAATCCCACTTATGTTTCGATTACCTTGCATCAAAATATTGGAAAACCACAAGATACACGTGTCGCGGGACACTTGTGTTGGCAACACTGCGAAAGGGGAGAAGACGTTAAAAACCCCGGCGACCGCAATTTTTACATAACGATCGGCTGACACCTTGGCAGTCTTTCTGTCAGTGCCTTCAGTTCTGCAGGCCACCTGTATCTTACTTTTTTGTGTTTACTCAACATATTTTTGGAAGTGCATTGATGATTATACAATGCATGACTGTTGCAGCTTTCATGAAAGGCGTTTCCACGTGAGTTGTTTCTAAATGCACAGACACACTGATATCCAAACACGTTCACTTCGACATACAAAACTAAGGCATGCTTATAGCTCAATAGCATCCACATACATGCCAATTGTAAAGAAAATCGGCAGGGCCCAAGCACAACACCCTAATTTTTGTTTAGTCTCGCATAAAGTACCCAATGCACCTTAGGTTTTGACCGAAGCAGCCTAAACAAATTGCAGCGACATCACTGCAGCGACTTGCCATTGCACTGACAAAAGGCTGCCAGGCTGCTCATCAGCATGTTTAAAAAATGCACGGATGGAAAACAGAAACTAACTTACCAGTTCTCGCTTCTTCCTTTTTACGATGTGCCGTCAAAGTCCTCTAGCTGTGGTCAGACGCCGATCCCCTCGCACGTCGAACGCCCCTGCGCCGCCGCCGATCCCCTCGCACGTCGAACGCCCCTGCGCCGCCGCCGATCCCCTCGCACGTCGAACGCCCCTGCGCCGCCGCCGATCCCCTCGCACGTCAAACGCCCCTGCGCCGCCGCCGATCCCCTCGCACGTCGAACGCCCCTGCGCCGCCGCCGATCCCCTCGCACGTCGAACGCCCCTGCGCCGCCGCCGATCCCCTCGCACGTCGAACGCCCCTGCGCCGCGTGCCCCCTGGGTCCCCCGCGCGTCTGCCGCGCAGCAAAGGATTACACAAAGCGGGAGAGACTAAAGTAACTGCCGCGTTTGTAGATGCACGGTCGGACTCCCAAAACTTTTTCGGAGTTCAACATTGCGCATATGGGCGTTGCCTCAAACGAAATGGTTTCAGAATCGCAATGCTCTCTTCCCTCAACTTTTGACTCCATACTGAGTCTTTGGGACTGATTGGAGTTTTCGTGTTGCCTATGATATGATCAAAGGTAACTACGGCCGCAAGTGGAAAATTTTTCGATAATGCTGGACCGATTGCCTCACCTAACCCAACTTACCTGTTCTACCACAGACTTACTTAGCCTAACTTAACCGAACCTTACCTAACCTAACCTAGCGTTATCTAACCTAACCTAACCTAGTTTTATCCAACCTAACCTAACCTAGCCTAGCTTTACCTAACCTAACCTAGTTTTACCTAACTTAACCTAACCTAAACTAACCTACCATAGGTTCAGTGACCCGATTTCTTTAGCCAAGATCCCCATGATTGCTATAGAGATCTGCCCCCAACTGGCAGCCATAATTTTGGAACTTAAAATATCAGCTCGATTCAGATTGGTGTTCTACAAGCGAACATGCGCAGATTCAAACTGCCGTGTGCAAAATTTCCCAATCTGACCCCAAAATATGCGAACAAGCGGGCTTCTCCCAGGATTTTGCCCTCTTTCTTCCTGAAGATGGGGCGGCCGGAGAAAGGATCGTCCACCCGCTTCTAACTGAAAAGGAAACTGCACCCCTGCTTTTAAGCTACTGTCAGAACACCAAATGTCATACAAAGGCGGTTGAAACAGTGTTGCGCCCATACGTTTATGAAAGACAATTTTCGTAAAAACAATACACAATCAACAAATTGTTACGGTAATTAGAATGCCCAAAAATAATGTATCTGAAAGAACGTCTGAAAGAACGAAAGAACGTCATTCGAGAGCTAAGAGCATAAGCAATCGTCAGATGGCCAAGAATGATCTAATGAGGCGAATGAAACAGCCAGGAGGTGAACAGAAGTATCGTAATTACGACCACAGGAAGGGGGGGGGGGGGGGTGTGCACGCAAGGCTTCGCCCTACAGGAGCCCGGATATTGCACAAATACTCTGAGGCTGCGGCTCCTGATAGAGTGACCTACACTCAGTGAGGAGCAGCAGCCTCAGACCCACCCAAATGTGCATCGTGTTTTAGGTTTTTGTAACACTTTTTAGTGTGTTGTGATGGCGAACTGAAATTAGGCACCCTTCTGGCACGCTTATGTGATGATTTTCCCTTACACCCGGGGTTTCGCGTTCGCTCAGAAGTGTCACTGGCCCGTGAGCTACCACCTCATGCGCGCCTCTGCTTACGACACAGGCGAGCGGCCACACATAAATATTCTAGACACATGCAAGTATCGATTGCTGTGTCAGGCAGATTCGCGTTCAAACGGTGTACAAAAATGTTCACGGTCAATGTAAAAGAAACTATTTGATACATTGATCCCATATATTTGCATTGCACGTTCGATGCACTGATCCAGTACCACTGATCTTTTTAAATCAACTCAGGTATCTGTAGTCCATGCGTGGTTTGGAGATTCTTGAGGCCGATTTATAATTTAAGACATTGTCTTGGTGATAAACCTCCTCATCTGAGGTGTTCCCAGCATCAGATCACGGTACATATGCTTAGTCGCCTTTGTGCCTTCGTACTGTACAATCCTATCAAATATTTTCGCTTGTTATTAAACAGCACACATCGCAAAACAGGTGTCTATTATAAAGCAGTACTTAGTGAAGCCCGTTAGTGATAGCACCACCAAAACATGTTAATATATTGAAGCTTCATCTTTAACGAGATGCAAACGTGAGCGCAAACATCAACGTAAGTACTTCCCATAAAATGATTGGAGCAATTAATCGGTTTTAAAATGATGTACCGACCTTAAATGGGCAAACGTTAAAATATTTTGACATCCAGATTTTAGACAGCAGCTAGTTCGGATATATTTTTCATTTCAGTTGCCTTGCATACATAAAACTTCCTAACAATGCTAGCAGTGTATAGCACCTCTGAGAAGCGTAGGTATCACATATTTAAGTGATATATGAGGTTAGCAATGTTGTGTAAGACGGCCATTGCGGAAGGCAGATAAGGAAAGTTTCACAGTGTCATTTATGGCCTTGTAGTAGTTCGTTCGGAGAGGGGTGTGTTTCGTTGGTCTGCATTGTTTGATTAGGCGGCATTGGCAGTCGGTGGGGCGGTGTGTTTGCTCGCTCAGCCTCCGACTGGCGGTAATCTGGCCAGTCGCTCGGCTCATAGAGTATGGTAGCCGAATTATTCATCCCTTCCATTGTTATACCAGCCTATTCATACATTGTTGATACTTTATCTGTATTTCGTTCAGCATGGAGCAGCCGAAGGAACAAGCAACGATAGACGAGCAGCCTGGTGGCTTTCAGGAGATCGAAGACATAGACAAACCAGCGGAGGACAGCCAGGAGGCTGGATACACCCTTGAACACATCACGGAAGAAGCAGCAGCTGTTGCAATTCCGGAAGCACCCGCCAAAAACCCAGAGACACCCGCTGAAAGCTCACAAGCTCAAGATAAAAGCAAAGACGTACCGGATACGAACCCAGAAGTGCCAGCAGAGAGCCCGGAAACTCCGACTAACGAGGATGAGGAAGCAAGTAAACCCTCAAATAAAGTAGAAGAAACCGCTGCGGATGTTGCGAATGGAGGACAGAAAGCAACTTGCGGCAGCCAGCCGGTGCCGCCAGAAACACAGGAAGTAGACAAGGAGGAAGAGCCAGCTGGAGAAGATTCTCCAGAATCCGATTTGAAAGGTAATGCCCGTGAAACTTCCCAGGTTGGTGAGGCCAAAGTTCGAAGTGCGGTGCCTGAGGGGACTGGAGACACTGAGACGCTGGGTTCTCAACTCCAGACTGATGAAAAAACTGGAGAGCAGACGGAAGGGGCTACGGAAGGCAAGGTGACCGCAGAAGAGGCTGAGAGTGCTCAAAACGCCACTGAAGCTGGATCAGCCGGAGGGGGTGGCGAAGCTAGAGAGCAAGAGGGAGACGTCCCAAAGGATGCAGATGCCGAGCGTCAGATCGGTGGCGCAAAAGAAGAGGGAACGGAGATATTTTCAGAGGGCCAGTTTCCAGAGGGCGAGAACCAAGAGCAAGCCACGGGTGAAATAGAAGATAAAACTGTGCAAAATGCAGCAGAATTATCAGATGCACAGGAGCCTGACGAGCAGACGGAAGCTGTGGATGGAGGAAAACTACAGGAGCGAGTGACACTACCTGTTGGCGAAGAGAAAACCAGGACACAAGGAGACGAAGTCACTGGAGGTGAAAAGATCGACCAGCTCGCGGAGAGCGCGCCTGAAGGAGAGAAAGTCCATCCATCCACAGAAAGTGGGAAGCCGACATCTGAGACATCAGCAGGGGAAGAGGAGACTGAACAGCAGACCGCTACCAGCCAGGAGAGCGTGGTGAGCGGCGAACAGACGACAGTGACGCAGGGAAGTAGAGAGTCAACCACCGAGGAGACAATGGGCGAGGAGACAGCAGGCGAGGAGACGCCCAGCAGAGAAACGTCCAGTGTGAGGGAAGGGAGTGAGGAGACCGCAGGCAAAGAGAGGACCGGCAGAGAGACGTCCAGTGTGAAGGAAGGCAGCGAGAATTTAACCAGCAGAGAAATGTCCGGTGTGGATACGGGCAGCGAGGAGACGACCGGCGAGGAAACGACCAAAGGACACGACGACGGGGAGAGTGACCTGACACGGCTTGTGGAGCGCACCAACCTGGAGCAGCAACACCACAGCCTGCTAATGCAGCGGCGCCAGCTGCTGACGTACAACCAGCGCATCCAGCAGCGGCTCAGTGAACACTTCAGCCACAAGACAGAGGACACGGAGCGCGTGGAAAAGAACGTGGGCGAGCTGGAGCAGCGCTACACACGCTACCTACACGGGATCCGAGAGCAGCAGCGCGTTCTCGCTGACGAGAAGCAGCGCCAGCTGGAAGAGCTGGTCGAGTTTCACGCGCAGGTGGACGAGGAGATGGCCATAGTGGCGGCCGAGTACGAGGCGGTGACGGAGCTGCGCCGTCAGGTAGCGCTAAATGCGCGTAGCAGCCGCACCGGCCGCTTAATGCGCGCCGACGAGGTTGAAGCGCTCATCAGCCGCGAACAGGCCAAAGAGCTGGAGGTGCACGATGCGCGGCTTGAGAGCCTGCGCCGCGAGACACGCCTTGGCCATCTTGAGCAGACGCTGCGCGACAGCGAGGAGCTCGCCGGCGGCATTCACCTGATCGACTTCGAGCAGCTCAAGATCGAGAACCAGACGTACGCCGAGAAGATTGAGGAGCGCAACGAGGATCTCACCAAACTGCGCCGCAAGATTAGCAACACTGTGCAGATCCTGACGCACCTCAAGGAGCGCATCCAGTTCGAGGAGGCAGAGAACCAGCGGCGCAAAAACACGCTCGAGACGGTGTCTGCCGAAGTGACGCACGGTCGCGAGGGGCTTGCGCGGCTGAAGCAGCGGCGCGACCACGTTCGCAACCGCACGGCCGGCCAGCGGGCGTCGGCCGGACTGCTTGGCCACGAGGCCCTGCTGCGAGACTTCGAGAGTCGCGTGGATGAGGAGGCGCGACTGGTGAAGGAGCTGCAGCTGCTGAAACGAGAGTACGGCGAAAACCAGCGTCAGTCTGAGGCCATCCGGCAGATGGAGCAGAACAAGAAACAGGAGAGGCGCAGGTCCTCCGCGCCCGCCGCGCGTCCCTCAATGGAGCGCGGGGGTCCCGCTCGGTGGACGGGTACGACGATGGACTACTGAGAGATGTGGTGAAGAACCATTATGGACCGTCTGGGCGATGGACCGCTCACACCGATGCATGCAATTAAACTGTGCAAGCGATCCGTGGTAAGAGTGCATGACGGATTGCCTGAACATAAAGACGCTGATTGGTTGAATGGATATAAGGAGAATTTAGCTACTCACCGATGAAAAGACCTGAGCGATGAGCTAGGAGAGTGACTTGACTGAGAGAGAAAGATAGGAGGAGCAAGAGGAAGAGAGAGAGAGAGAGAGAGAGAGAGAGAGAGAGAGAGAGAGAGAGAGAGAGAGAGAGAGAGAGAGAGAGAGAGAGAGAGAGAGAGAGAGAGAGAGAGAGAGAGAGAGAGAGAGAGAGAGAGAGAGAGAGAGAGAGAGAGAGAGAGAGAGAGAGAGAGAGAGAGAGAGAGAGAGAGAGAGAGAAGAGAGAGAGAGAGAGAGAAGAGAGAGAGAGGAGAGAGAGAGAGAAGAGCGAGAGAGATAGCGAGAGAGAGAGAGAGAGGAGAGACTCTAGAGAAGAGAGAGAAGAGAGAGAGAGAGAGAGAGAGAGAGAGAGAGAGAAGAGGAGCAGATAGATAGAGAGAGGAGAGAGAGATACGATAGGAGAGAGAGATAGGAGAGGTGGAGGGTTGGACAGGGACAGGAGAAGGACACCTGAGAAGGTTATGGAGAGGAAGAGGGAGGCTTATAGTTGCATTACTCTGTACTTCCAAGTGTAAAAGACTGCTTTAGACAACACAATATCTCTGTTTCGTTAATATGCTGCTCCATAAGTCATTGCATTATTACGTCATATGATTACCTCATCGGACGTCGCACAGCATTGATTGGGAGCCAATTGACCGCCGCTATGCCTGGAAATCATGCCACTAAGAAAGGTTTGCCGAGAACCTCGGGCAAACCACGGCAATGCGCCCCACCCAACCTCTCGCGAGAAGCGGTACTCATACCCCGAAAGGCCACCGCGTGACTGCGGGCACAGGAAGCTCGTTTGGGCCGCCGCGCTCCAGATGTTAGAAACACGCCCACCTCATGCAATGCACGTTCAGCAGGACTCTACGAAAATATCTTCATGCAATTAAAACGGGTGTTAAACCAGCAATTTTTGCAATTCAGGCAGCTAGCAGTGAATTTCCGGCTGTTTTGTCGTTTGCCGCGAAAAAGGGGTTATTGCAATTGGATCTTCATTTGTGTGCTAATTTATTCTACGAATGTGTCAAATGCGAAAGCACCTCTTATTGGGTGAGACTCTAACTACGGATGGATCAAAGAAAAAGTGAGTTTCGCAGCGCCGCAGGAACGGCGATGGGGAGGGGGAGGGCCGGCAGGGGGCCGAGCTCCCAATGTGTTGAAATTTAACATTGACTCCACGGGCGCTGACCGGAAAAGAATAACCAAACATGGCTGTCAGTTCCCCAGCTTGGGAAAACATTCGCTGCCCCTTTTGGTTTGCTGATTGGTACCTTTACTGGCTGTTTTATGATGCATGCCTTTCTTCCGTTATGTCGCATGACACTCCTGATTTCGGTACTTCAACACCCGGAGGGCTTTGCGAATGGGTACGTTTGGCCCACACGCAAACATTTCATATTGTGCACTACTCAGTTGGTCATTTCCCCGTCCCTCCTTCGTCCCTGTTACCACAAACCCATCATCTTCTTGCATATAGCGCGATATCCACAAATTAAGCCATCCACCATCTCATATAAATTAATATATCTTCAAAACGCATCCATAAAAAGCGATTCTTAATACCCGACCCAAAAGCCAGTCGCCATTTGTGCAGTTTATAACCATCTGAGCTCTTTCATAGCTCAGTTCTCTTTCAAACGCGGCGGTTGCCAACAGTGAGTAACAGCTCGGATGTATCGCACGGTGCGAATAGGCGTGGCACGCTATCCTACAGCGGTACCGGATGAGTATTTTCCACCAGCTGGGCAGGCTCCTTGTCCGTCGATGAAACACATCTTCAGTGCATTGTCCCGAGGAGATACGCAAGGCCGTGATGCCATTCTGAGTGGGCGAGGTGGAATGGAGCCAACATTGCAGCGGTTGCGCAGCACCGCGCCGCGTTCGCCGTGGGTCATGCTCCGAAGCCAGCGTCGCCTGGTGGCTGGTCTGCGCTCTGACGTCAGAGATGGCCATCGACCGGGCCGCCTCCTGCCTGCCAGCGCTGCAGCAGCGCGTGCGATTGGTGCCCTGACCGCCGCGGCGTCCGGACGGCGGTGAGCGGGCCCGTGCCGGCCGTGGGGCTACGGTGCGCGGTCTGCGCATGCTCCGACGCCGCTCGCCGCCAGCCGCGGCCTGCAGCTCATCGTGGCGGCCACGTCCGGCGCCACCGCCTACGCATACTATCACAAGGTGTACGGCTACGCGTCCAGGCACCGACACGACGCCTGCGGCCGGCCGACACCGCACTGAGTGGGGGTGGCCTCGGAGGCGCGGCAGCTCACACGCGCTGACCAGAGACGAGCGACGGCGGTGAGCGGCACTGTGGAGGTTAAGTGCTGCCTGCGGGCATCAGCACGGGCCGGCAGTGGCAGTTCGAGGCGGCGGGTCGACCGTTGAATGCCTGACTCGCGGCTTGGACTGCGGGCTGCGACGAAGCGGTATTGACGTTGTGGTCTGTGACACGGTAGCCGGTGTGTGCGGACACACTTTGTTCGTGACTGCCTCACCGATTATCGTCCCACACCCAGCTCCTGCCAACGAGAACAAGGCTTATAGACACGGCAACGATGATAGATCTCTTTGCGGTCATTGATAGTATAGCACGAACGACCTGTGAGTGACGCAATGTTGGCCATTGTACTTGGCTTTAAGCCTTCTGTGTTTTGTAGCGCGCTGAAAGGCTTACAGCGCATGACGCTAACGTGTCGTCTTTGTACGATCTTTGTTGCAATGTCAAACCATATTGTTGCTTCATCTCTGCTGTAGGCGTTAGTGCGCTGGGTTGTGTAACTTAACTGTAATGAGGTGCTTGTATTTACCTTATTGTAAATGACAACGTCGGGTTCTCCCTGAACCCAGAGCCCCTCTCCCTCTCGCTCTCTCCTTCTCTCTCTCTCTCTCTCTCTCTCTCTCGCCCTCTCTCTCTCTCCTCTCTCTCTCTCTCTCTCTCTCTCTCTCTCTCTCTCTCTCTCTCTCTTTCTCCGCCCTCCTTGTGATCCGTTGCGACATGGTTCATCGTTCGCTTCAGGTGCGCCCCCATGCGTCGCTCGCTCCCCATCGCTCCTGCGGTGCCAGCCAGTGATGGCGCCGGGACTGAGTCAACTTCCGGTATGGCGCTGACGGAGCGCAGCGGCGCGTCGCCGGCCCTGGGATCCCGCTGCCACCTTAGCCGGCGGAGCATGCCTGCCATCGCTACCGACGACGGGAAGGGATGCGAGGCGTCAGGTGCATGCCCGGGTGCTGTCGGCCCGCCAACTGAGCAAGCGTGCGGGCTCGTCGACCGGCGGGGGCGGGGGAGGGGTATCGCCCGAACGCCTGCAGCGAGGCCGCAGCCGCTGCGCTGTGCGGTCGGCCGGGTCAGGCTGATTAGGGGCGCTCACCGGGGGGACGGAGTCGTTGTAATTTGTAGATGGGCGGTCGAGTCATGACGGCACAGCGGCGAGCTGTACCCGTAAATCTTGACTGCATCTGGGCTGATTCGATGTTGGCATGCTACCAAACCCGGTCGGCCGTTGTGGTTTTAATTGCAATAAATGCTTTGTACGTTTCGCTTGGCGCTTTGGATGCTTGGATGCCTTACGTGGGTATGTCCGCGTGCGTGTGAAGGGCGTTTGTGGCGGTGAATTCGGACGCCGCGATTATCGGTATCGGGCCGTGGTTCGCAGGATCCGCCGCGTGTTTTGTAAGGTCCATGAACGCTGTCGCGACGCCACGAAGCAACACATGTCCGCCGTCCTGGTGCGGCGCCCTACGGCTGGTCATCTCAAGCCAAGATAAGCAGCGGTAGCGGTACTCGGTCAGAGAACAAATTTGGACCGTTGACGCAGACTTATATAAAACCTTTGAGCTTGAGGAAGCTGCCATTGATTCGGGAACACTGGAGCTTATCATAATGACACCCGATCCATGTCCGCGGTAATCACTTTTGTCAGTACAGCAACACAATGGGCCTTAGACGGTCTTAAAAGCCGTCTTAGTTACCAAGTTGGCACGTGGTACGTTCTTCACTGGCCACGTCCCAAATATTCGATGCAAATCCTTCCCCTGTGACTAAGTGCGCAGGTGCAGACTCAACTCTCATTGGACTGATCTGCTTATCACGTGCGCGGATGCCGATGCAAGTAGGAACAAATGGTAAACACATAAGAACGACAGCACCGTTGATCGCGGTGCACCATGTCATGAGGGGACCTAGGGGACCAGGGGACCAGGGATCACGGAATCACGGAATCAGCGGACCAGGGGACCAGGGGACTTCAGGACCCAGAATGGGAATGCACAAAAGTAGGCAAGTTGTCGGTCCGACGTACAGGCCCTGCCGAGATCACGGCGCCGTCTGTGGGCGGGGCCATTAAGAGCACGGCGCCTTCTGTAGGCGGGGCTATCGAGATCAAGGCGCCTTCTGTGGGCGGGCCCTGCCGTGATCAGGGCGCCGTCTGTGAGGGGGCCCTGCCGAGATCACGGCGCCTTCTGTGGGCGGACCCTGCTGAGATCACGGCGCATTCTGTGAGCGGGCCCTGCCGTGATCACGGCGCCTTCTGTGAGTGGGCCCTGCCGTGATCACGGCGCCTTCTGTGGGCGGAGCCTGCTGAGATCACGGCGCATTCTGTGAGCGGGCCCTGCCGTGATCACGGCGCCTTCTGTGAGTGGGCCCTGCCGTGATCACGGCGCCTTCTGTGGGCGGACCCTGCTGAGATCACGGCGCCTTCTGTGAGTGGGCCCTGCCGTGATCACGGCGCCTTCTATGGGCGGGCCCCGCCGAGATCACGGCGCCTTCTGTGAGCGGGCCCTGCCGTGATCACGGCGCCTTCTGTTTGCAGTGCAACACACGAAATGGGTGACAATACATGCCGACGTACGGAACGTACAGCAATACACGGCGACACACGGGACGGGCGGGAATACATGGCGACACACGGAACGGGCGGCAATGCAAGGCGCACAACACCGTCAATGCAATATACGCCAGCGTGACTTTCGCAATATTATGACTCGGCGATTGAGTTAGAAGTTAGAACCGATAATGTGGGGCCACTAGAGCCCATGGCTGTG